AAAATATTTTTTGTAATCAAGAACAAATAGTATAGCTCAATTCTCAATCCATTAAATATAAAGGGATGAAATATTGTAAAAAGAAAAAAGCTCGAGTCAATTTAAATTAACATAACAAACCTATAACTCGAGAAATAAAGAGCGAGCCAACCCTTATTGAAATGAAAAAAAAGGACACAACAACACTTCCAATGATATAATAGAAAAATATTTTTGGATGTTAAAAGACATCACAGACGCTGCCGTAAAGGTGTGACCGTCTTCCACTCATCAAAGAGTATGCTATATACACCTCATCGTTTTTTATATATATTTAATTAAATATCAAATTATCTCTAAGCAGAAAAATAATGTTGTTAAAAAACAAAAAAAAAACCCTAGCACCAATATTAATATTATTAGTTTTAAGGATATTTTAATCATTTCATTATGCTTGTTGATTTTCTTAATATTTTATCAAATACTAAAATACCTTTAACTGACATTATAACAACAAAAAAACTATTGTAAAGATAAAAAAAAAAAAAAAAATCCCTTCTTTTGATGTTATTTAATATCTAATGGATTGTTTTGAATTAGTTATTACATAATGAATATGAATATTTTGCAAATGAGAAACATTAGATTTTTAAAATAATTATAATTTTACAAAATTCTGACAATTTTTATTTTTATTTTTATTTTTAAAACATATAGAGTTAATTTAAACTATATCAAAAGAAATATTAAGGAAATACAATCGGTCATAACCATTCAAAGTCTGGACCGTACAATTCTCAAGGTTGCAAGATCCAGGTTCGCATTCCCTGCACCTTCATTTAGTTTTTCTCAATGTTACTTAAAAAAAGGAAATTATTCCTTCTTAATCCTCTTGGTTAGGACGGAGCATAAGAAGTCCTCCTTTTTTTTGCTGTAAAAAACTAACAAATGAATGAAATTAAGACGAAGAGATTATGGTTCTTAATAAAAAAACTATGGTTGGACCGTTGAATTCTCCATTAGGATGCCTTCACGCAAAGCTAATTAACGATTTAATTATAATAATAATCCCGGTCTCGGATCGGTGCTACCGACATATTTTTTGCTGTGACTCTATCCATCAGTGGATCAATTGGACGGTCAAATTCGTTTTATTCTTAATAATAATATGACAATTAAAATCAAAAGAAATCAAATGCCATGCGATCAAAGCTCTTGTCATCGATTTCATGTGTGCGACAAAATACGATGCCTCCTTCCCTCTCCTGGGGGTATATGTTCACCACCATATAATATATTCCGTGTTAGAATAAATAAACAAACATTGAAAAAGAAACGCGCAAGCCCACAAGGCTGGCAGCAAAGCAGACAAAAAGCCTCCGTTCGACCTGTCGCCTTCCTCCTATAGCAGACCGCCCACGGAAATGTGACTAGTCGTTACGGCTACTACTTTTTTTTATTATTCATTGATAAATTAAGGACATTTTAGCATTAATTAATTAATTAATTCTGCTTTTACCATGGAAAATGACCACAAATGTTCTCTTGAATTCGTGAGTTCATACCAGAAGGAATGGGAGATGTAAAACTCAGATTATTATTATATTTGTTTTTCTTTGAAAATGGTAGCTATAATTCTATTTTATTTTTTTCATTACTATTAACTACTTAAATAAATGTCGGTAGCGTTTACTATACTTTCTCCGGGTCAATTATAGGTGTCAGTTATATAATAAAAGACTTGATAAAATCTGAAACATGTATAATTAAATCTCCATAAATTAATATCTTTGACATCATGAAAACTTTTTAATTAATTGATAAATATCAATTTTTTAATTTGTACATTAATTAATGAAAATTTAATTCATCAAAGTATTTTTATTCTTACAAAAAATTTGAATTTAATACATGTATTGTGTACTGTGATCATATGAATATTATCTAATTATAAATTATCATTATTCTATATATTTATTTAATCAAAACAAGTTATGGATATAAGTAGCTTTATTAAATATGAACCTGAGCAGTCTAAACAATGGATATTGGGGTGGTGTGGTGTTGGTATTTTATTATTTGTCTAATGTAAGGACATCACAAGTATGGTTAGCCATGGTGTTTGAAGAATGTAAACTTGATTAGCATGGATTACTGCAATATTATTCCAATAATATGTTCGACAATTTGATAGAAAAATGAATTCGTATAAAAGTTTTCTAGTTCATTGATAATTATCACATTCATCAAAAATCTATTAAATTGTCTCTTCTTTTTTTTGCTACTTAACATAATATCTACTTTTTAATTTTATTAAAATCTTTTGGAGGATTATAAAATTGGGGTCGCAAATTCAAAATAAAAAAATAAATATTATACATGCAATGAATCTTGCAATCGAAAAGGATAAATGTTATACATGCAATGTTTAAGTAGGTGTACTTGAAAACTATTTTTGATATTGTAAAATTAGATTTATGGATAAAATGGCTTTCTAGAATTTGGATCAACACTCACATGATAGAGGCATTCAATAATTGCATATTATAATAAATAAATAAAAGTTAAAGTATTATGATACAATTGATGTTGAATATCTTTTGAAAAGAAAAAACAAAATAATTTCTGAATTATTAACCCGTGGGCAAATTATTGAGAACAATTATGTATTGAAGCCTATTTTACGCAAAGAGGTATTTAAAATAAAAAACACATTATATAATATTCTCTTAAAAAACACATTATATATATATATATCGAAATGATATGTGTGTATTATTACATTATTTAACTTTTTGGTTTTCAGTTTTCTGAACTTGAGATTCACTCTAATAATAAAAAAATGCATGCATGCACACACGTTAATATATAAAAATAGAAGGTGATAAATTATTTATATAAATAAAACATATTTTCTAAGATATTTTTAAAATACTATAGTAATATTGGTCGTCTAATTAATAAATTATCAGATACTGCTTTTTTCCTACAACACACAACACCAAACAATAAAATGCAACATAATTATCAAAGCATAGTACAACAAAACAATATAAAACAACTCATCGAATTCAATTAATTCAAGTATCCAAGAAAAGAAATAATACAAGTTGTCATTTAGGCTAAGAGAGCCCAAATCTTTTTTCCTTTTTTTATTCATTAAAATTAGATTTTTCTTATTTTTTTTAATTTCATCACTTAATATGTAATTCATTATTAATTAAGCAATCATAAAAATGGAGAATATTAAAAAGATAAAGTGGTTTTGATTAAAGAGTATCCTTATATCAAATGGTTCATTTTTTTTTGTTCCTATTTTTTTTACTTTCTATTAGTTTTATGAAATAAATAACATATCTTAAAGAAATTATATTTTTTGTGGGAAAAAAACTTCTCGTTATGTTAGATCAAAAATCTTATTTTACATGTCTCTCAATGTTTTGACTTAGTTTTTATTTAACATTAGTAACTCTTTTTAATATTTATTAATATATATAATTTTTTATTTATTTTATTAAATATATTCATTAACTTCTTAGTTCACAATTTATTTTTTTCATGAGATCAAAAAAACATGTCAACAAGGTCTGTATTTTTTTTTTTCATCCGATTCGAAGCAGTATGTTGGCTAGTAGATAATTATTTTATTATGTGACATAGGATAATCAAATAATATAATAATAAAATTTAAATGGAATGCATCGTTACATTTCTGTGTTTGGCTGCTTCAATCTTTAGTGATATAATGAAGGCTATAAAGTCTTATTTTAGTCCTTGTAGTTTTTTTTTAAATTATTTTAGCCCTTATATAGTGTTTTTTGAATGAATTTTAATTTTCTCTTTTCTCAATTTCTCTCTCGTATCGATTACCCTCCTAAACTTTCATCTAGGTTTCAATTCTTACCCTATCCATGTTGAGAAACCACTCCAACCTCAAATTGCCAAATTAAAAATTATCCTAAAACTAATAATAAATGATGAAAATTTGAAAACCCATATCTTGTCAAACTTATTTGATTACCGTAGATATTTTTCTAGTTATGAGGTTTTATGAACATGATTCTTTTATTTTTTTATTTTACAAATTAGTATTAATTTTTCTAGATTTAGTTTTTTTCTTTCTTTTCTTTAAAGTTCAATTTTCATTTTTAAACTTTTCAAAATTACTTATTTGATTTTTTTTCCGAATGCTTTTTTTTTTTGCTCTTAAAAAAAAAACTAACAAAACATTTAATTTTCTAACTGAAATTATCCAAAAAATAAAAAAAAATATTCATTGATTTATTGTCAATTTTTACGGATATTTCAAACATTCAATTAATTTGCTCATCTTCAATTGAAAGAATATACGTAACATATTAAGATAGATGGATGAATTAACCTTAATATTCTTGAAGATCGCTTTTACAACCACACATTTTCTTTGAAAAATATTCAAAATTATATATAAAAAAAATCATGAACAACATTAATCTCAATCAATTTTTAATAGTTTTTTTTTAATATCCTTCTGTAATATGACGTTTTGTACTAATAGTAATTAATGGTATTTTGGGAATAAAAAGGGTTTGTAGTATTTTCTTGGAAAAAATATTCATTTTTTTGGATGGTAACCATAACCCACGGCACGCACATGCCTCAAGAAGGTTATTGTGATCTACCCTTAACTTCAATATTCTAAGAATTCTCAATAGAAACGAGCACCACACAAAGGGATAATTTGCTAAGAATATTAGAAAATTGTTGAGCAAGCATATGAAGTGGAAAATCCAGGAAGTGTTATTCTGAAGAGGAAGTAACACAGTGAAATAAGCGCCGCCATAGTTCTCAAGTGACCAGAAACACATGAGAGGAAGGAGAAAATGGGCGTGATTTCTCTGGTCCTGGTCATTCCTAGGCCTGGCATGAGAGTGACCCTATTCTAATCTGCCAGATAAAGCTCATCAATGAACAATGGATGCCCTTCTGTTTCGTTATCCTGTACTAACTTCTAACATATAGAAACGTCCCCGCATGGCATCAGAAAAGTCAGGCCTCACTGCAATTAAGAGTCGAAGAGAAGAAAGCCTAAGACTATTATTTAATGATTGCATGAAGGAATCTACACTGGATAATTTTTCGCTACATTCTAATCAGAAATAACCATTACATTTATTCGATGAAAGAGATGAATTGACTCGGTAAATGGCAAGAAAATGGCTAATTACACTAAGCTAGTATTGATGAAGTAGAAGTCTGAATCCTTCAAAGCCACTGGAAATTTTTCCTTGTTCTATCGTGGAGATTTAGAAGAGAGACACTTTCCGCACGAGACAAGCTTCAGCAATGAATGTGGTTTTCGTGTCCTAATATTCAAACGAGAAAGCTGCAAGAACAAATATAACCAACATTTTCAAAACAGATTACATCAAAACAACTACTCGTTTACAAAATGGGACACTCCCTCAGACAAAACGTACATCTTAGGAAATGTTTTAATCATTATGGTAGCTTTGGTTTACATAACTGTTTAGTCAATGACCAACGGGAGCTCCAGCCAGTGTACAAAGCAATTTAAACTATTGTGCGATGCATACCTTTCCGGCCACCTTCTATTTTGCTTGGTTAGATAATTGTATGAACCTAAAACAAAGAAGCTAAAAGGGACTGGCATGCTATGAAGGTTTGAATGACATCTACAAAAACGTTGGCAAGCATATTGACCATTAAACATGAAAATTAACCTACCTCACTAAAAGTATGCTATGGTTGCTTTCTACTTCAGCATTATGAGAGAGCATGCAGGATATAATCACCCTTAAGAATATTTTTGCGAAGTCAAAGGTGCATAAGTTTGCATCAATATCATTAGAGATCTAGAACTAATTACCTTCCGCCGTGTCACTCTAGTTGCTTTCCAGCAAAGCAAGCATCTTGATCTAGGTTCCAGCCTCCTGTAAAATTACAAATGCACAAAAGCCAATTTGAGAGGGCAAAATATAATTTAAATATAATGTGCAGAAGAGCTCTCCTCTCGACTCAACCAAGTTTTAATAACAAACTCGTCAAGAGTGTTACTTTTTTCTGTTCATTACAAGGCTGATAGGACCATAGACTACAATATAGGTTAACCTTCTTCCTCCCTTAATCCTTCTTATTCCTGGTGTGAGGTTGTTTGGTGCAATGCCAAGAAGAGGCCTTAGCCATTATGCTACCAAGCACCTACAAATACATGCTCAGGCTTCTTTGGAAAAACTAGGTATAATATAAACCTTTTTTTTTTTTTTACTATGCACAAGTTAATATATAATCAGCTCCCTACTCACTGATTATAGATGGTTTGACATTGGTAACTGATAAATAGCTAATTGAATCTACTTTATCAGGGATAAAAGAAGGGTGCGTTACCCTTCCTGTCAAGGAATCCCTAGGATTTTTGGAGAAACAAGAAAATTGAAACCCAGCCCTATGACCAAGCCCTCCTTTCTGTTCATCACATATAGCTAATACAGCTACCAGGCACCACTTTATAACAAAAGTTTAGGCCTTTTCCAGTAAAATAAAGTTCACTGCTAAAAGGTGGTTCCAGCTTCTATGTCATCCAAGGATAATAATTAGATTGGCATGATAATAGGTAAAAAGAATAAAAAGTTCTTCAAATACGTACAAATTTTCTTGTTCAAGCTTTTCAGCTATAGAAACTGCTTTGTGTTTTGACCATCCAGCTTGCTGTGTACATCCTTCAGCTTGCTGAATTACACGCGCAAGGGAAACCTTGCTTCTCACAATGCTCTTACTCTGACTTGTTTCCCCGAGCTTTCTTCTTTCCACCAAAGACCTCACGGCTGGCTTCTTATTCGAAACTGATTCTCCTGCCCGAGTGTGCTGTAAACCTCTTCTACTGGATTCTACATTGTGGTTAGCTGGTTCATTACCCTCATATTTTCTTGGAGAAGTCGGTACTTCAACAATTTCACTCCTCCCTTCAAGATAATCTCCTGTCCTAGGCATTCTGCTCCCAGCATTCAGCACGGGGTCTATAGCCATCTCAGATGAACCATTTTTAGAAGCTGGTAAAATAAGAGGCACACGGAACCCTGCACTTGTTTCCTTGTTCGACTCACATCTGATCTCAATTGTCACTGGTGATCCAAGAACAGATTCAAATGCTTGTAAAATATGTGCCCTAAACTTCTCTGCCTTCAATTTGGTGAAATGTGAACTGAAGATCAACTGCACAGTTGGGGCTGCAAAAGGTAAAAATTTATTTGCAGAGTTGATTAAATATTTATAAGTGAATGCATAGAGAATATTTGTTTCCCAAGCATGCCACATAAAGGACAGTTGGAGATGAACAAAGAAAACACTAATTTGGAGAATATTTGCAAGGACTAAAAAGAGCATGCTCCTGCAAAATGAATTATTTGAGTAATCTTTGCTTGGTTTGTCAATTTTAGAGGACAGGATAATGATCTAAGAACATGGATGAGCATAGCACTTGAAACCAGTTGTTTATATGGAACAAGGAATATTTTAAGGTTCATTAATCAAAAGGAAGAACTGTGACTTTGTGAAATTCAAAGGACCATTTATCAAATCGAGAAATAAATAAAGCACGATCAAACAGGGAAAGTTTTGTGGACTCAGCCCCAACCAGTTGATAAATAATCCATATAGCTGGTCCCCATCACCATGAGACCCTCAAGAGAACATTTACCATCACTCAATGTTTTGAGTAAATATATTGTGGTTCAGTATATGTTTGCATGTAAAGCATCTAGATTATAAAAACAAGTGTGGAAACCACAACCATGTGCAAATGCAAGTTCGAATGACACTATATATGTAAATGAAAAATGCATGTAAATGAGATGCACCTGCACCAAAACTGACAGAGATCAGCTTTCCTTCTTGGTACAAGAATTCTCTCATACTGTTAATTTGAATCTTCTCAAGCACCTCCAACCAAATTTCTTCATATCCCTTATGGCTTTTACCAGAAACCTGCCTGCTGTTCACCCGGATTTCATCAGAAGTTTGTACAGGTGTCCAATGAGGAGCCATCCCAGACGCAGCATTTCTTTTTCTGTCAATGCTAATACCACTTGTTGAGCCATTGTTGCGGAAATCAGCAGAAGTTCCACCAGGGAGACTTTCCAATCTGACATGCATTGGCAAATCTCTCCCATTATTGGGCATCTCATGTTCACCACCTTTTCTGGAAATCTCTCTTCCACCCATGTTATTTTGGGCCAGAGGGCTATGATTAAAACTAGTTTCTGTGGACGAACTAGGAAGCAGATACTGCTGATCAGGAGCAAGTTGAAGCAAGGCAGCTGTTAACCATGTTAATTTGTCATTTGACATTCGAAGTTGTTTTTCAGCCTCTGACAGAGTTTTGAGGGCCTGACGCAGCTTTTCCATATCTTCTTTGGATACTAGAACCAATAAATTTGTGGTCAATTTTTTGTGAATAAATATCCATAGTATAAATAACTGATTCATACAACCCGGTCTCAAGTTTTTGATGAAAATAAAGGGGAGGGAATTCATGTCAGAGGTACAAAAGATAAAATTTCAGACACCAAAAACATTGACATAACGACTCTTAATAACACCAAACTGGTCAACAAATCCATAACATCCCAAAGTTAGGAAGGAAAATCACAAACCAGCAATTTCAGGTGAGAGGGACCATAGTCACAGAGACCAAATTTAAAAAGTCAGATTATTCAATAACTTGTCACTGATACACAAAGCATCAAATAACTACTGAACTCACATGGCTTTCGTCGAAAAAATTTTCTTCTAGGCCTTTCTTTTGTGAAATCATAGCTACCAGCTAGTATATCAGTGATAACGGTAGCAAGTTGTGACATTAAAGCTAATGGCTCCACACCAGTTTCCATTATGACTCTCAAATTCTTCACAGTGTTTACTGTGTCTGCAGATAATGCTAAATCAAGAAGATCCACCAGTTTTTCATCAGAGATTAGCCCAACCTGTAAGAGACTCATAGAGTTTAGAGCAAATAAATAGAAGCATATCATATTTAATCAAGTGAGACAGTAAGGGGCAGTTTAATCAGCCTGAGAAGAGTCATCTAAGAGACCAAAGCAAAAAAAAAAAACTAGCAACCAAACAGGCTAAGTGGGTGTTCAGTGAGATGATAGCCCATGATTGATAATGAAGAGGCAAGAACAAAGATTACGAGAGATTCATAATCAGGGATCCATGAGCGCTATTAAGCTCTCAATGGGTTAGGGAAACTAGCAAAGCAGAATTTCTGCAGAAGATTATCATCATATTGAGATGATGGTCAGCAAAAAATCTGCATCTGCACACTGCAACTGACAAAGCAGAATACTAATAAACGTGCAATCACAACCAAGATGTGCCTTTTTTTAACAGTGGTTCAATTGAGTGTCCTATATCACATATCCATGGATATGGATATTCCGAGAAGTTTGTGCATATAGTCTACTGCATCTAAACAGAAACTCAGCCACAAGCCATGAATGGCAAATTGCTCTTCAATCTAATCTATAGACATCAAGCAGTTAACAAACATTCTTTTAGGCATCACTACAACAATGCAGCACTATTTTTTGTAACTACTTAGCCTTATAAGCCTAAAAATGATCTCATGTTAGGAAATGGCAAATATGAAAAACAACAAGAACAACAGTTTGTTCATAATTTAGCTCGAGTGGTGAATTGAGATCAGGATAAGGCTTAGGCTCATATTTTGTCAGCAAAATAACATATACACAAATATAACTTCTAATTTTGGATAATCTGGAGTCCAAACATGGAACTATAACTTCCTTTACAAGCTAACACTATCCCACCATCATTAGCACAGAAAATAAAAGCACCATGACTTTTGTCAAAAAAAGTGAAAATTAGCACATCCTGCATGATCAAGTACATTTAAAAGCATTAATTGTTTGAAAAACTTAACTGCAATAATTATATTTCTAACATACACATCAACGTCAATACCTTGCAGACTTGTATAGACTATAGAATATTACTTTGATGTATCATTAAAGAGGCAAACATAACATTGACAGTATTGGAATATGCATTTTTTTAACCAATGTACAATGAAATCAAATCTTTTTAACATTTTAATTATAGCCAAAGAATCAGAAAGCACTTACCAATTCCTGAACCAGAGGAACAGATATCTTCTGCCCAAGCAAACTTAATTGTTCAAGTGTCATCTCAGCATCCCTCAAGGATCCATCTGACCGCGATGCAATAAGTTTTAGTGCATCCTTATCTATATCTACATCTTCTTTGGATGAAATCCACTGCAAAGTATATATAATATCTGCATCTTTAAGCTTCGGGAAAAAGAATTTCTGGCATCTGGATATAATTATATGAGGCAAAACATCAAGACTTGAGCAGACAAGGACAAAAACTACACGTCTGGGTGCTCGATCAATGACCTTCAATATGGCACTCCAGCAGTCAGGAGACAGACTATCACAGTCATCGAAGATAAAAACTCTATATAGAGATGGGATCTGATAAACAATCATACTGTCAAGCAGATCCATAATGCTCTCGAAATCAAAATTACTGACTGGGCCAACTTCCCTTATATTTCGACTCTTACCCATATCATGTGAAATGCAAGAATTGCAAAAGCCACAAGGTTTTGGATGTTCCAGAGATTGACAATTCAAAGCTCTGGCAAATATCCTAGCACATGAGGTTTTCCCAGTACCATGAGGCCCATAAAACACATATAGCAACCCAACCTTCCTCCTAGAAACAGCATTAGAGAGAGCTTGTGCTACTAAATTCTGTCCCACTAGATCTCTGAAAGTTCTTGGCATGTACTTTTGTGTCAGATTTTGATGCCTACCATTGTGGTTCCGCCCAAGCTTGCATTGTTCACTGGATCTTGCTTCAGAATCAACATCATTTTTCAACAAGTGATCAGCATATATACCTAGCTCTCCTGAATAGTCATGCACCCAACCAGCATTATCAGTGCTTTCATGGGATCCGGATGCCTCCACTAGTAAAGGCAAAGCCTCTACATCAGATTTAGTAGATGAAGTAGAATGATCAGATGCCACAGGCATGCCAGGAAAATCTCTTCCATGGGAAAATGTGCCATCTCTCCTTGAATCTGACAAACCACAAGATAAGCTCCTTCCAGCCATGTCAAGGAATGTCTTACCCCTATGATGAATTCTTGACCAATTCCATGGAATTCCACATCCATTTCCGGGAGCCCTTGTGACATTTTGGTCCCCATATTCTTCTTCCTCCATGTGATACCTTGGCTGTGCTGGACCTTGAGCAAATGAATTAGAAGCAACAGACATTTCTTTGTGTCCCCCAGCATCCCTTGAAGCTGGAGTAGCAGCCCGAGTTCTTCTGGCACTTCGAAACTTCCGTCTTTTCACCCTATTCACTCCACTATAGCCACTAACACTGGTCTCATGCTCACCTATTTTCTGCTGTTGTGTGTGTCTTCCGTGAAGATGCATGTTGGAAGATGCCACATCGCTACCCCTTGGAATCTCATTTAGCTGCTCTGAAAGGGTCTTAATATGCATATCCTGACTATGCTTCCCCTTATGTTTACTCTTTCTATCTTTTGATTCTGAATTCCTTGAAACAGCTTCATGAATAAAACTATTAACAGCGTGATCTTGTAAAAGGTCTTCATCACCGCCCAATAGATCAGCCCTATCACTTTTTCTACAAAATTCTTCTCTCGTAACAACTCTCCTACCATCCCTAATTGCACTCTTCACACTGCGATCACTAATAGCCGCTACCCCATCAATACCCAAACTAATATCACTTGGGACGACCTTTGATGGTGCTAAATTTGCTAAGGGTGGAGAAGTACCTGACAGCCTCCTACCTTCCCTTCGACGCTCAGTACCAACTGAGCTTCTACCTTCTCGAATGGCCGCATCTGGGTCACCTTTCTTGGGAAGTAAATCAACTACAGAAGGTGAGTGCCATGAAGGAGGACTGGCCGAAGGATCTCTCAAAGATCGGGACCTCTGAAGGGTAATGAGGTCCCGCATTAATGACCTATCAGCCAGTATGGGGCTTTGCTTAAGCATGTGGTTTTTCAGATGAATACAATTGGTCAAATGAATATGATTTCGAAGATGATCACCGATATCACCATTTGCATCCTTGAGAATCCTAGTGCGGACTGCCTTGGTCATGATCAGAACATAAATGCAAATGATAGCATTATTTCTTGAGGGTTAACAAAACTAATCAAACTATATAGCATCTTTCTTATTCTTTTTTTGGTTCTTTCAAACTCTATCCACCCCAAAAATTAAATCTTAAATCTGACACTATTGCTTTCGAAAAGGCAAGTAATTATACCCAACTAACCGATTGCCAAAACCCACAGAAAAAGCCAAAACTCAAGCAATCAAAGATCCTCCATTAAACACAAGGCATTCATTTTCATCTCAAAGGTAACAAACCAATTTGCCATTATAACACCAAATCCCCGAAACTTTCCTCCATGTCCAACAAGTTCTTCAAAACAATCAGTATGTGCTCCTGTAGGGCATAGAATCACCACTACAAACCATCCCAAAAAAAAAAACATTTTACTAACCCAAACCCATGAAAGCAAACTCAAAATCTCAAGCTTTTGTTAAAGCCCCCAAACTGCATTGATCACTCTACATTCACTCCCATGCTAAACCCTCAGCTTCAGTTCAAGAAGACCAAAAGCACTACTCCTTTCACCACCTGGACGCTAAAAAATAGACCCGACAAGACAAATGTCAATCTTCAAACTTAAACTCCCCCAGGAAAAAAGAAGCTTTTGAAAGGTATAAACCCATTTGCAATTATGACAAAATGGGTAGGTAATAAAGAAGCTTGAGATTAAAAGAGGATGGGGCCTAGAGGAGAGAAGAAGAAGAAGAAAGACGCACTAAAAAAAAGTAACATGAGAAACACTACATTCACCTGAAAATTCCCCAAAAGCAAAAAAAAACCCCGTTTTGGCCATGAAGGCAAGGCCTCCAGATTAGATCTCTCTCACAGACTCTTTAATGGTCTCCCTCAAAGTTGCCAACTTGACATGCAATTCACGAGGAGCAGAGTGTTGCTTTTCGTGGAAAAGGATAATCCTGAAAACCCCACTTGAGAAACAGAATTTATTTCTAGAGGGAGATGAAGTTGGGAACCTTAGAGAGAGAAATAAAAGAGATAGAGAAGAACTAAAATAAGCAGAGAAGCTTCAGAGGTGTAATGTTTAGAGAGAGAAGGAGGTGAGATCTGTTAGAGAGAGGAGGCTGTGGAAGCAGAGAACAGCCAACAAAGAACATGGAAGTGTTTTTCGTAGTTATTTTTGTTTTTAAATATAATAAAATAATATTTAATTTTTTAAAAGAATTTATTTTTAATATTATTATATTAAAACATATAAAATATCAATTTAAAAAAAAAACTGAAAAAGAAATCATAATCAAAATGTGGTGTTTTGTTAGAGCATGCAAATAAAAAATATTAATTCATTAATAGGGAAAATTACCCTGATATTTAGTTATTTTTATATTTATGTGTGTTTTTTAAGTTATAGCTAATATCTTAAATTTTATTAAGCTCGTGATAATTAATATCTTAAACTATTAAATAATTTATTTCATTTTATATTTATTAGAGATATAAACTGTAATTTTCTCAAACACAAATAGTAAATATAAAAATAATTAAATTATAGAATGATTATGATAATTTTGACTTATTAATATTAAAAACTTTTATTTAACTGGCTATTATTTAATTTTCTAATATAGTGAAGAAAATCTCCACGACTACACAAATGTTAATTTAAATATGATTTATGTGTTGGAAAAAAAAAGTTGTGTAAATAAAAGATATAATATCTATTAAAAATAAGAAATAACATCAAACTAGTTAAGCCTATTAAAATAAGAAATAACATCAAACTAGTTAAGTGGGTTGAGTATAATTAATATATTAGGATGTGAAAGAAAATTTTATAATAAAGTATTATTTTAATATATTTTAAAATAAAAAATATTTTAAAAAATAAAAGATATACGGCCACCACCTCCGCAATGAAGCAGAGAGAAGAGAGCAAAACTGAGATTCGAAAGGGGGGACCAGATCTAGGAGTGTCCGTTCTGCTGAAATAGCCGTTTTTTTTTCAGGTACTTTTAGGGTCGGGAGCCGTTTTTTTTTCAGGTACTTTTAGGGTTGGGTCGGGTCGGTTCGGGTCGGGTCTAAACTCTATTATATGGAATGGAGATGGCACCTTTTCTTGTTCAGTACTGCGTGGGATCTATAATTGATATCAATAGTTGGTGGGGACCTAAAATAAATAAATTTGAAGTTTCATGACTTATGGTGGGCGGATCACATTAATGTAGAAGTTGTTTTTAAAATATTTTTTATTTAAAAATATATTAAAGGATTTTAAAAAATATATATTTTTAATGTTATTGTATTAAAATTATCTAATAATATTTGAAAAAAATAAAAACAGAAAAAAATTCGAATTTTGATGAAAAATTGGTTGAAACTTAATTTCAAACAGAGTCAATATCTACTTTGTTTTGAGGTATATTTAGAAGTGTGATGGATATTAGTTTTTAAAGGATTATTTGGTTGAAAATTTATTAAAATAATATATAAAATTTATTTTTTAAAATTTATTTTTAATATTAGTACATTAAAATAATTTTAAAAAATTAAAAATTTTAATTTAAAAAAGAAAAACAATTTAATCATGCTCCCAAGTAAACTTTTAAATTTTGTTGTTCATTAACGTGATTCATTTTCTTTGCAAGCCAGCTACTTTATTAATATTATTTTTTTTCATTTTAGTATGATTTCAAATTTAAATCAGAGGAGAGCAGGAATCTTGATTCTTGACTTTGTTTCCATTTTTTTTTAGGTTTTTTTAAATATATTTGGTAGTATAATAGTTGTTATTTTTAAAATAATTTTTTATATTAAAATATATATTAATAATTTTTTAAAAAGTAGGTTTAACTGTATTTCCAAACTATTTTTTTCTGTTGCATGTCAAGACAAAAACATAATCTCTGGGTGAGATGCGTCTATATAAGGATTTTTTGGTAAATAGAAGGATACGAGGGGGGTTTTCTCATTGCCATGATCCCATCGCAGAAATGTTTTGCAAAGCCAAAGAAAAGAGGGGAAGAAGCAGGAGAGATTTCCTGGAAAAACAAGTATCTTCAAACATTGCCTCTCCTGATTCTTTCCACATGATTCATAGTGATAGCCAACCATAGTGAAATAAGATTTCGGTTGATTCAATAGTTTGTATTTTTTTATTTTTTTTACTGATTTCACGTGAAATTATATTTCCTGATTTTATATATGGTAAAATAAATATTTTATATTCATTAAAATTTATTTTGCATTAAAAAATCTATGAAGAACTAGTTTTGACTAGACATATATTTTTAAGATCAAAACTAAAAATATAATTTTTTTAATCATAATCATAAGTGCTAAATATCCAGACTTAACACTCAAAATAAAAACAAAATTGAATTAAATTTATATATAGAAAAAGAAGGTGAAATAAGCAAGCTGTGATTAAAAAGCACACTACAAAGTGTAAGGTCTGTATTTAGATTAAAATTATTCGATTAATTCAATAATTTTTATTTTTTTAACTGGTTAGTGTGTAATTATGCTGTAAATTAGTTTTGTATAAGTTAAAATAATTTTTTTATATTCATTAAGATTTATTTTTTATTTACTTTGCAAACAAAAATCTATTTAAAATCAGTTTTAATGAAATATGTATTTTTAAAATCACAATTAAAAATATTTTTTTAATTATAACTATAAAAATTATCATAATATCAAATAAACACTTAATAATATTATGCTAATCATTTTTTCCTTTCAGGTGCAAAATATCCTGAATTAACACTCAAAATATCACTTAATAACTTTAGATTTAATTCCATACGATCCTAGGTATTATTTCATCTGTTATTTACAGTCTCATGCTCGATTGCTTTTTATTTTTAAAATTTTTATAATACATAGGAGATTGATTTTTTTTTTATTAGTGTGAATATTTAAGCTAATTTATATATATTTTAATTAATTTTATAAATATTAAAATTAATGATTATGTAAATCATGATAACCATATTTTTAAATTATAACAAGATTTAATGATGAATCATATGGTTGAGAAAAAAAATCAAGTGAAGAAGGAAGGCAACAAGGAAAGCGGAAACAAGGAAAAAATAGGAGTAAATGCAACCGAACATGAATGGAAATATAAATCATCTAAGAACTTGTATCGTTAATTATAGTTATTAAATATGTGAATATGTTTTGAGATGGTATATAATATAATTAGTTCTCTAAACTTAAAGAATTGAAGTTTGAATGATTTAATATAAAATTTTTAATATAATAGTTATTTTTTAAAGTATTTTTATTTAGAAATATATTAAAATAATATATATTTTTTATTTTTAAAATTTATTTTGTATATTAACATATCAAAAAAATATAAAAATAAAAAAGAAAATAAATAAAAATCAAAGAAAATAAATAAAAATTCTAATTTTTTTCAAAATTATTTTTAAAATGTAAAAACCAAACAGGCTTTTTGATTGATTGTATTGTATATATACAAGCCCTTATCTCATTTTCTTTTTCTTTTTCTTTTAGTTTTTTTACAATTTTTTTCTTTTCTTCCCATCACAAATCTCTCCCCTCCTCTTTATTTTATATTTATTTTTTGGATAAATTAAATTCTCACAAAAATAGAGATTAAAATTGCCTCTTCTTTTTTTTTAGCTTTTCGTTGAAGAATATAAGTAGGAAAAAAAGGAGTTGAGATGTATTAAAAAAACAATTAGAGGGATAGGTTCACCTACTGTGATTTCTTTCAGAATTTTTATTTTTCTAGAAATTTTTATAATTTTTATTTTCTTAATTCTGTCCCATTGAGACAAAGAATGATATCATCTTCCAATAATTTTTTTTTTCTTTTACGACTTTGAAGTAAGAATTCAGTTATTTTGAAAAAATACATTTATTAAATTAGATTTTCGTTTAAGATTTTTTTTTTACATCATAGGGAAAGAATCAGATTATATTATTGACTTAGAAAATAAAAATCTTTTTGACAAAAAAAAAGTATATAGAGTGACCCCAAAGCAAGGCTAAAGGCCATATAACTAGTATTATAGAAAATTATTTAGACCACTTATTATAAATATTTTGGCAAAAAAAGAGAGTATATTTTAAAAGAAGAAGTAAAATATAGTAGATGACTAAATAGGTGGATTGTGCTACAACGCATGATGGGTTAATTTTTTTCTAACATAAAAAATATTCAAATAATGATAAAAAAATATCCAAGTAATGATAATTTATATCAACTTGAAATAACTTAATAAAAGCAAGATCTGGAATATAAGATCAAAATTAAAAAAAAAACCTCACATAAAAAAAGTAAAAAAAATAGTGAAAAAAAATTTGAACCAGTCCGGCTTAACTTGACTAACCCATATCTGGAATAACCCCACATAAAAAAAGTAAAAAAATCACAAAACTCAAGGATAATAATCTAACATTAATGGATAAAGTAAAAGGAAAAATCAATTTTATATAAAAAACCACCAAGAAAAAAATTGAGTTTGGGATCGAAATAATCCCATAAAAAAAAAACAGAACAAATCATAAAGTTTAAGGACCAATAATCCAATATTAAATGATGAAATTAAAAAAAAATTCATAAAAATAAACCTAAAAAGAGAATAGACTTAGACTTAGACTTGACTAATATTTAAAATTAATGACTTAAGTCATGAAACTAGGATTACCCTATAGAAGAAAAACATGAAAAAACAACAAAACAAAACTCTTAATTATAAAAAATTAAAAAACAAAACAATGAGGACCAAATTTAATATAAAAATTAAATGAAATAAAATAATTAGGGACTATAATGAGAAACCAAAAAATAAAGAAAAGAAAAGAAAAAACATCAATTAAAAGAATAAATATCAAAATTAGGTGTATAAATTAAATGAAATAAAATATTGAGGGATAAAAATTAAAAATTAAAAATAAATAAAAGATAAAAAACAATTAAAAGAATAACGACTAAATATAAATATAAAAATAAAATAAAATAAAATGCTTAGAGATGAAATTAAAAAAATATATACTCAAAAGTCATTAAAATTAACATAAATAATAATTAAAATAATAAAACCTAAAATTAAATGAAATATAAATTAGAGGATACAAATAAATTTTAAAAAATTTAGCATGAATT